TTCTAATTTCCTAAAATTACCTTGCAATTAACGGTACCTAAGTACACAAATCCTCTCTATGCACAATCTACTAAAAGAAGAAGAAAACGCCGTAGCTCTAGTACCAGAGATAGCATAAATCGGGTGCTCAACTTATATTTCAAATATAGAAAGCAAATCGATTTCATATAAGCTGCTCAAATAAATTCTCCCTTTTTAAGAGTGGCAGGGACAAATTACTATGAAGTCTGTAAATAATGAGGATGAATTCAAAACTCGCTCAGCTAAGAGAATATAGGAAACTATTTTGTCCTCAAGCAGTGTTAAAATAAATGGGTAGCTTTTCCTCTCTTTTTCTTTGGTCAGAAGGTAGCTTCCACTTGGCCGTTTACTACTTTGGATATGCTTTTCTTTCAACTTAACAAACAAGCCCTTTGTTAGAGATAGTTAGGATATTTCCCTTGATTCTCTATATCTCTCAAGAGTATCAATATATCTCCATTATATATACTTTGACAAAAAAAAATCTCCGTTATATCTACAACGAAATATATAAATATTGCTTAAGTATCTCTTCCGCATTATTCTTATCTGTGCAAGTTTGACATGTATTCAACAATCGAGCAACTACTCCCAAATTCGATCCCCTACCATTATTTTGCATTCATGTGTAATCACTTAATTTTATGCATCCACGGAGAAAGTGCTTAGTATTAATGAATATCATCTCAAACATGTCACGAACAACGGATCGCTCAACTAGTTGAAGTGACTCATTTGTATTATCTAATGAGATGAGATATTTGGATAGAGCACATGTCAATAGTTAAGATCGATCCTGGCACTCCAATTGGCTCAGACAAAATAGGAGTCATGCCCATTTTACAAAAGCCGAACCGAGTCAAGCACATTAATGTCAGACTTTGTAGAACTATTTAGTAAAAGTAAAAAGTGAGCTAACGAGAAAAAATAATGATAAGGCTTCCCACATTAATGTCAGATTGCATAATTGCCAAATTGCCAGCCACTCCTAGATTGCGAGTACAGATTTGTCTGCACGTGTCGTGTAACGTAAATAGATAAATGTACGTATAGATAGATGGTAGTTCTTTTGGCACATAGGGCTCATTACGATGAAGTGTGATGAAAAGAGGGCACCAAAAGTGTAGTTGCAAACAAATTGATTTGGGTAAGGTGCGAGATAGAATAGTGCCAGCAATGATAAGCTTGGTTCAACAAATAAGTAAAACTAATGATATGTCAAACTGCAAAAATGAGAATTTATAATATGTGAGTCCCATTTGGTGCCACAATAAGAATATGTGATGTCACTTAGCAATGATTTTGAATAATTCGGTCATTCTTGTAAAATAACTGAGATTGCATTATGCGCGAAGGTTCCGAATGCATCAAGATATATAGCTTTATCGACTAAATTGTGTATATTGTGTTCGGTTTTCATGATAAAAGGAAACAAGTAAAGAAGTGTTTTTGTTGATTTGTACATCTAACTTGTTCAACTTTCTTGAAAGTCTAAGTAAAAAAAAGTGAGAAAAACGAATGACCGTTTTTCAAGAACCGGGGGCTCAGGTCATGCTTCATATAAGAGATTGGTACCTGCAAATCAAACCTCCACGAGCCATTATATATTTTATATCGAAGAGTTTCGGATAGAAATCACCACTTTAAGATTGTGTTTTCCACTGAAGCTACACAAGTTTTTGTTTCCAAGATAACCGAGAGAACTCTCTTCTCTCCTTCATCCGATGGAACCAACAGAAGATTCCCAATATACGAGTGATAATGGCGAATAGTTTGGAGAAACATCAAGACCGTCGCAATCGCGTCCGCAACTTGATTACTCAGTACCGGATTTTTCCTTGTTTACGCGAACTCCAAAGGAGTACTTTTTGGCTTGCAAAGCAGCACTGCTGCTGATCAAGCAGGAAATGATCAAACTGCAAGGGTCTACGCCGAACGAGAGGGAGAGGATGATGTTGCTAATAATCGTGTTAAAATATGTCTTGAGTTTGAGCCCGAATAGAAAAGTTTCCTAATTCAAGTAGGTTTTCTATTTTGAATAGGTTTCCTAATTGAATGATTTTCTAGTTGGAGAAGGTTTTCTAAAATGATGTTTCTTACTTTGGATCCAATTCTTGTCTATAAATAAAAATGAGATGTTATTTGTGAAGATTATCAAAGAGGAGCTTCTGCTAATTAATTCTTGTGTAAGATTTGTGTAATTTCTTCGTGAGAGTTGTATCGCTTAATCTATAGTGGAATTCCGTTCTGCTCTCCCCGTGGACGTAGGTCATTACGATCGAACAACGTAAATCTGGTATCTGATTTATTTTCTTATTTTGTCTATTTTATTGTTCGATCGATTGGCTTCCGCGACAGATCGGATGATGACGGCCAAAGATCAAGAATCGACAGAGGGATCGCGTCGAAGGGAAATCGAGGATGATGTTGGTGATGATCGAAGGGTGAGGGTCGACTCCGAACAAGAGAGAGAGAATGTCGTTCCTAATGGCCAAATGGCGAGGGTCGAAGATCCAAAATCGGCAAAGGGATCACGAAGAGGGGAAAGCTATGATGTTCTTGCAGGCGAAATCAGCATAACCATCCATCCGTCAAAAGCAAAAAGATTGTCAGGATTGCCTGAAGTTTCAAGCGCACCGAGTGATGGTCAAAATGTATTCCCCTCCATGCGAAACAACGATGCCGGCAATCAAGTTGGAACTGATCAAACTACGAGGAAAGAAGTGGGGCAAGAGGAAGAGAACACTCGGAGTCGTGATGCTGATCGAAGGACGACGATGATTCAAGATGAAGAATCGATGGCGAGATCTCACGGACAGAGAAGGGAGGAGGACATTTTCCCAGTAGATAGCACCGACATGAGTTTAAGGGAGTGGCCATTACTTGGGTCCAATCGCGGAATGAGAGGTCGAAGGAGGAGGTCATAATGGAAGCCATGAACTTCTTAGCAACGGTGCAGTATTTTCTTGGATTCTGTCTCAAAAAGCGCGAGGATTAGATTTTTCTTGAGCTTTTCTTGGTTTAGGGTTGTGTCAGACACTTCATTGATTAGTTATCTCTATGTATAAGGATTTGTCTGAAATTGGTTTTCATATAATTGTTTATGGTGGTCATAGGAGGAACACTACAAAAAAACATGGATTTTGACACAAAAATTTGCGACGGATTTTTTTTTTCCGTCGCTAATTTGCGACGGAATTTGCCACGAAATAAAAATTCGTCGCAAATTAGCGACGGAAAATAAATCCGTCGCAAATTTGCGACGAAAAATAAATCCGTCGCAAATATGCGCCGGAAATAAAATCGGACGCAAATTTGCGACGGAAAATAATTCCGTCGCAAATTTGGGACGGAAAAAAAAATCCGTCGCAAATTTGCGCCGGAAATAAAATCGGACGCAAATTTGCGACGGAAAATAAATCCGTCGCAAATTTGCTACGGAAAAATAAATCCGTCACAAAATCCGTCGCAAATTTGCGACGGAAAATAAATCCGGCGCAAATAAAATTGGACGCAACTTTGCGACGGAAAAAAAAATCCGTCGCAAATTTGCGACGAATTTAGCGACTGAAAAAAATTCGTCGCAAATTAGCGACGGAAAAAAAATTCGTCGCTAATTTGCGACGAAAAACAGTCAAAAAGTGGATTTAGCCACGGAAAATTAGCCACGGATTTAGATTTCGCCACGGAAAAAAAATTCGTCGCTAATTAGCGATAGATTTAGCGACGAAAAAATCAAATAAATTTTAGTAATTAAGTAAAATAACAGTTAGTAATAGAAAATTAATTGGTATTAAATCGTAAAATTGGATTAGTAAGTCATGCAAAAAGAAGCATGACTCAATATAAAAATTGGTAAGTTAAAAAACCAAATGGGTAAACAACTCAAATTAGAGTTGACAATCCAAAACTAATTGGTAACTTAATTGGGCAAAAGTTAATGAGGCACACAAAAAAGTTGATAATTTCATGTAATAGAAGGTAAATTCAAAGCTGGTAGAAAATTAGAAATGTATTTTTGTTAGAGATAAGAAAAGTCGGTCATTTCAAAATAGAAAACCAAATAAACATTGGTAAGTAACTCAAATAAAAGAAGGTAACATAAAACTAGTTAGTAACTTGATCGAAAAAAGTTGGTAATCACTCTAATAAAAGTTAGTAATTTCTAAAAGAGCTAGCAAATTTAAAAAGTTGGAAACCAATGCAAATAAAAGTAGCAACTTAATAAAAAGCTAGTAAATTTGAGAAAATAACAAATAAATGCTAATAACTCAATTGAGATTTGGTAATCCAAAATTAATTGATTTGATTGGAAAAAATTTACCCAAATCACGCAAAGAAAGCTAGGCTGATAGTTTCATATAATACTCGGTAAATTTAAATTATTGGTAAGAAATGTAAATAAAAGTTCGTAAACAATGACAGAAGCTTTGTTTGGTTAGAGATTAGAGAATTGGTGTAGAAAAAAAATGAAAATAAACATTGGTAAGTAACTTAATTAGGAGTTGGTAATGCAATATGGTAAACTTGTTAGAGGAGAAGTTGGTAATCACTCTAAGGGTACGTTTATTTTTCAGAAAACTTAATGATAAAGCAAAGTGTTTTTCGGAAAATCATTTTCCATGAATACGCTTAGTTTTTATTTGTTTGGTGACATACGATGAAAATCGTTTTCTGATGTTTAGATTTCATTAGAAAATGATTTTAATCTCATGACTTTATTTTAGATAAAAAAATAAAAAAAAATTTAAATATTTTTTATTTTTAAAAAATCAAATTTCTTAATTAATTTTTATTTTTTTTTATTTTCTTTTTTTTGTAAAAATTTGATTTTTTAATTTTTTTTTAAAAGATCGTCGCTAAATCTGTCGCAAATTAGCGACGGAAAAGAAATTCCGTCGCAAAAATTTGCTTTGCCCGCCCTCACCCCCATTTTCTATCTCAGTCTCTCTCTGGTGATTCCTCAGATCCCCTCACCCCGTGCTTCCGCTTCTCCTTCTCCTTCTTCCCTCCCCCCACACCCCCAAACCTCTCGCGCTCGCTAGGGTTTTCGGTACCCCCTTCCCCCCCTGCGCTTCCTCCGGCGACTCCTCGCCATGGCCTCCGGAGCCCTAGAGGCCGCAGAGCCCGAAGGGGCGGCGGCTCCTCCCCCCGTCGAGGGCAAGGAGGAGCTCCCCGAGAAATTAGAGGCGGAGGAGGCGGCGCAAGAGGACCGAGAGATCGCCGCTCCGGAGGAGGAGGCCGAGGCTTCCGACGAGGAGGCTCTGCTGGTCGCCGCCGAGGCCCCGCCGGCTGCGTCGCCTCCGAGAGGCCATGCCCGTGATGTCCATATCCTGAGTTGTGGGTTCCTGCTCATCTTCTCGGCCTACGGTGTTGCTCAGAATCTCGAGAGCACCGTGAACACCGTGAGTTTTCCGAGTCGATTTCGTTGGAATTTTGGGTAAATTGAGAGAAGAAATCGACAGTCGTGAGATGAAAACCCAGAGGCAGATTTTGCACTTCTGGGTCTGAGGTTGCTTGTAGGAATGTTTTTTTGGTTCGTTTGACGTTGCGTTTTGGTTTGATGAGTTTCTTGATTTTTATTGCAGGCGGATAATTTGGGCACGACAGGCAACGCAAGTAAAGAAGAAAGGCAGACAGGCAACGCAACAAAGAGATATAGAATCTACAGTAGAGAACATTAGTGATTTGGAGGATGATCAAAGCCATCGTGTGGGGAAGTCGCTTTTACACTCAGTGAAGTGGGAGCGCATTATTTTGGATGAGGTGAGTGAATGGGAGTATCTTGCGGTGATATGAGTGCTAACATAGTTCAATGCTTTGTAACCGATATAAAGATTTCGATATGTCCATGCTGGCAACACGTGATTCGTTATTTTGTTTGGCTGGGTGAAGCCACGCATGAATGCGTTAATTTGCTCTTGGCAAGACAAATTTCTGTAAGATTAGGCCTTTCGATTGAAGGTTTGATTACTTTTAGGGAACCGTATATGCATGTTCTTTTCCACAATTTATCAAAAAAACTTCTATCCGGGATCTCTTAGTATGATTTGCTTCGTGATCTTTGAACATTCATCTGCATGTACATTTCCCACTTATGCCTATGCAATTTTATTCAATGTAGGCTCACTTTGTCAAAGATAGGCGATGTAATACTGCAAAAGCAGTTCTCGGACTGGAGTCTTCATACAGATGGGCTTTAAGTGGAACACCTCTTCAAAATCGTGTTGGGGAGCTCTACTCTCTTGTAAGTTTCTATTTTATACGAGTGGTTAATTGTTATTCACCTTCTGTAGTCAATCACATTGTCCTGCAATAAACTTTTCGGGACCGTTTTCTTCGAATTGTGCCGTATTCATTCTACTTATGTCAAGATTGTGATTGCAGAACACTTGATTATAGGTATGTAAAGTTTCAATCACAAGATAATCGGGTTATATTTTCCACATTATTTAGAGTTATCGAGACTCTAGGTTAAGAGTGTGACATGATTCAGATCTCATGTTGCTACGTAGTTCTCACAGGACGTCTTGATCTTGATGCAACTATTACTGGAATATCTCCCACCATGGTGGATGTTCCATTTAGAGAACAAGTCCATACTTGTATCTTGCCCTGTGAGATACGTGTTTAAGGGCTGTTATCTCATATCATTATTCATTGAAGCATGCACAAAATTTGTTTCTGAATATATCCCTAACCTTCAAAATCTTGGTCTACAGTTGGTAGTAGATATGTGGATGCTATTGATTTGTATGTTGTATTTGACATGATTTGGTGGGTTGCACCCTCTTGGGTACCGTAGTGGAGAATGTCCCTAAATTGATGATCATCCTGCCAGGGGGAAAACTGCAAAGAAAAGAGAAATTGAAGAATCTCTTTATCTTTGATTGAGTGGCAATGACATATCCAAAATGGTGAACTATCAAGCATCATGCCTGTTAAAGAATTTTTTTTTTTGGGATGTTAGATTCTTCTCCTAAATGATAGAGTAGATATCGCCTTCTTGATGTAAAGACCTTGAAAGTTTGGATAGTGGGGCCATTGTGGAGCTTGTAGCTCCTATATCTAGTTTATATTGCTAATGACATCTTATTGCTTTTAAGAGTGAAGCATCAAATAGGTATAATTTAAAGAAGAGTTCTATGTGGGATATGTTTGGCAGAGTAAAGATATAGGTATACTCTGAAGAACATCACAAATACTATAGACTGAGGGTGTACACAATAGATGGATGCATCTTTTACTCAGATGATCTTTCTAATTTTTATTTCCTTTTGCCATTATATGTGAGGAATTCCTCTTCAATTTTGTTTGTTGTCTGGGTTGACTTCACTTTCATTATCTTCGTTAATGCAATCTCACTCTTTGTTTTCTGCATTAACTTTATCGATTGGTCTTAGAGCTTCACCTGCTGATTGCATGCACTGAGTTCAGTGAATGTATTTTTCCTTTGTTACCTATTTTGTAAGTCTGTTGTTCATTTGCAGTTCCTCAAAACAATGTCCTGAATGCTCTCACGGTTCCGTACGGCACTTTTGTTGGTGGAATCGAGTGAGTTGCATTTTCATTGGTCCTTTGGCCTCTCTCTCTTTTTTTTTTGGGCAAATCATATGGAATGTTTTCATTTGAACTCTGATATGGAGTATATATTCTATCTAGTATATAGTGAATCCTATACAAGCACATGGAAATGCCGTTGGCAGAAGGCGAGCAATGATATTACTAAAACACAATTTTGAAAAACATTTTGCTGAGACGCACAAAAAAGGGAAGAGCTGCTGATCTTGCACTTCCACCTAGAATTGTGAGTTCTCTTGCATATGTGTACAATTTCAATTCGGCATGTCGAAGATTTTTAACTTAAATCCACCGCTTCCTGCTCTCTTCACTTTCCCTGCAGGTTACTTTGAGGCGGGATACACTGGACATTAGAGAAGAGGATTATTACACATCATTGTACAATGAGAGCCAATCTAACCTTGTGCGGTGTGCATATTGATTGGTAGGTCCGTTAATCTAGGCTTCTTAATTTGCTCTTTCAGAGGATCAATTAGACTGAAAATGTGTCACCAGAAATTTCTAGCAATTGCTTTCATGGCCTAAAGATATATAAATGTTCTAAGTGCAATCCTTTTAATTTTGGATGCGAAATTTTGGCAATTGTAGGTATTTCACTTTCTTCTCTGGGCTCGTGGGACTTTTGAGTATCGCATTGTATGTCAACAAGTGAATGTCACTTCTTTGGAGGAGGTGATGAAGCACTTCATGCAAACCTTATAGGAGAAAGCAGAGTGGGCGCAAGATTGGAAGTATCTTTTCATACATATCGGGGATAAGCTTTGCTTCAGCATCTTCAGTGCCAGAAGTGCAGTTGGCCCAATATGTTCCTACCCTGGAAAGAATTGCCACCCCGAGGTTGCTTAAGCAAGTGCTTTAAAGTGCTCAAGATTATTTATTCTTTCATTATGTGTACTATAAAGAAAAGTATATATGTCATTCTTGTGGAAAATGCAGATGAATGTATTTCATTTTCATATTATTATAATATTTTGATGTTATTAAGTGCTTAATCAATGTTAAATATAAATTGTAGGAATTAATTTTGCTGTTAATTAGATTTAAAATCGAAGTCGTCCTTAAACAATATTCGTCGCAGAGTTCGTCGCTAAAGAATTAATAAAAATTCGTTGCTATTATGGGACAATTTCTACTAAGGACCCTAAGTGGGGTCAAATTCCCAAAAGAGGATCCAAAGTGAACAGTAGTGTCGAATAAGGGTATGAAGTATCGTCGATGCCTCAAATAAGGATCAGGAAGTGCCTTAAAAAGTCTCAAATAAGGGCACGGGTATTTGGTAGGCCAAAAATGCCCACCGGTCGGCGAGAATGTTACTATTCCGGCACAGGAATAGTAACTTTTTAAATTTTTTTTTATTTTTTCCTTTCTGTTTTTCCTTTTCTGTTTTTTTTTCTTTACCTTTTCCTTTTCTTTTTTTTTTCTTCTCTTCCCGCCGGCCTCAGGCAAGGCCGCCCTCACCGGCGTCGGACGAGGGCCGCCCTCGCCTGGGCTGGCTGAGGTCGGCCTCGCCAGTTGTCGGCGAGGGCTCGGCCCCACCGGCCGCTGGCGAGGCTTGACCTCGCCGGCGTCGGGAGAGGCCGGTCTCGCCTGCAAGGGCGAGGCCGGCGAGGTCGAGCCTCGCCAGTTCTGGCGAGGGCTCGACCTCGTCGGGGCCGGCGAGGCCCGACCTCGACGGCGTCGAGCGAGGCTCTGCCTCGCTCGCAACGGCAAGGTCGGCCTCGCCCGACGCCGAAGCGAGGTCGAGCCTCGCCGCAAGAATCGGGCGAGGCCGACCTCAGCCGCCTGGGGCCAAAGTGACGACGGCGGCCTCGCCCGGGACGCGAGCGAGGGCGGCCTCGCCTGAGGCGGCGACCTCACGCCTCGGCGCATGGCCGGCGGAGGAAGAGAAGAAAAAAAAAAGAAAAGGAAAAGGAAAAGAAAAAAAACAGAAAAAGAAAAACAGAAAGGAAAAAATAATAAAAAAATTGAAAAAGTTACTGTTCCGGTGCCGGAATAGTAACTTTCTCGCCGGTCGATGGTCATTTTGGCCGATCGGCGACCCAGGCCCTTATTTGAGACTTTTTGGGCACTTCGGGTCCTTATTTGAGACTGATTGGGTACTTCAGGCCCTTATTTGACACTATGTTCACTTTGGGCCCTCTTTTGGTAATTTGACCCCACTTGGGGTCCTTGATTGAAATTTTCCCTGCTATTATTGACCAAAAAAAAAATTACTGACCCAAAAAAAATTGGCAAATTAGCGATGAATTTTTTTTTTGGTTGAAATTAGCGACGAATTTTGCCACGAATAATTAGCGATAAATAATTAGCGACGAATTTTGCGATGAATAATTAGCGACGAATAATTTCTGACGAATAATTAGCGACGAATTTTGCGACGAATTTTGTGACGAATAATTTGTGACGAATTTTGCGACTAATAATTAGTGACGAATTTTGCGATGAATAAGTAGCGACGAATTTTGCGACGAATAATTAGCGACGAATTTTGCGACGAATAATTAGCGACGACTTTTGTGACAAATTTTGCAACGAATAATTTGCGACGAATATATTTTGTCGCAAATTAGCGACGAAAATTGATATTTTTCGTCGCTAAATTTTGCGACGCCGAATTAGCGACGGAATTTTTTTCGTCGCAAAATTCGTCGCTAAATCCTCATTTTTTTGTAGTGGAATTTTGCGACGAAATTTGCGACGAATTATTTGTGACGAATTTTGCGACGGATAGTGTTCGTGACTAATTTGCGACGAATTTTTTCCGTCGCAAAATTTTGCGACGCCCTATTAGCAACGGAATTTTTTCCGTCGCTAATTTCGTCGCAAATTCGATTTGCGATGGATTTTGCTAAATTTTTCGTCGCAAAATTCGTCGCTAATCCCTTGTTTTTTTGTAGTGGAAATTGTCCAATCAGTTCTTTCTAGCGATCTTCGACGAAAATTTGTCAGAATGACTAATTAAAATTTCGGGCAAAGTTCAAGGATTAAATTGGGAAATTTAGGACTGAATTGACATCCGTACAATAAATTTATGATTGATTAGGTAATTTTCCCGTGACAATTGGATCGGCATATACCTAAAAAAAAAAGAGGAGAAGAAGCACACAACCTTAGTTAGATAACTCCAAAGCATGTTGAATGATGATGGTGCATTTGTGTGCTTCTTTCATGGGGGACCACAATTCCCAAAGAGGTTGATGTGAGTAAAGTGATCAGCAAAGTCAAGTGATGCTTTACATTAAATTGCCCAAGGTATACAGAATATGTCTTTAATTCGATAAGTACAAAATATTATATTAAGTGTAATACAAATCGAAATAGTGTATTATTCTTCTCAAAACCTCAATATCTAGTTAGTTTATTTTAAAGAATAAAAAAAAATTAAACCAATAAGAGGATAACTCCATAGTTTTAATATGCCTTTTATCTTCACTTTTTGACTGAATACAAACAAAGAGTGTTGTGCGTGTTGTTGTGCCGTGATTTTTCTTTCCAATTATTTGTTTGGAAACTTCTATAAATTCAGAAAACTAAGCAATTATGCTCTTTTTTTTTGTATATGTTCTTCTTCAACTTTAAATCACTCTCAGACTTCTTTCAACTTCACCAACAAGACTATCATGCAGTTTGACATATATTCATAACATTTATTTGTTCTTTCAATTGCATTATAAGCAATAGCTTAATTCATTCAATAATGTTGATTTAGTTTTTCATCTCGTACATCCAACCAAGTATCAAATAAAATACTGATGTATAAAGCACAGTGCGCTCCTATCTTCACCCCACAAAATAGGGTTAATTCCAAAAAAAAGCACCAACTTTAGGTCGAGGGACAATTTTGGCCCGAACTTTTTTTTTTTTCATAAAAAAGCATCAACTTTAGGTCGAGAGACAATTATGGCCCGAACTTTTTTTTGTCCCGTAAAAAAGCACCAACTTTAGGTCAAGGGACAATTCTGGCCCGAACTTTTTTTTGTCTCGTAAAAAAGCACCAACTTTCACTTAAATCCCAAATCTGGCCCTTATTGACTTAAAACCAGTGATTTTCCAATTTGACTATTCCACCTTAACAATAAATCCACGTGACTTGCTTACTGGATTTAAATCATTATTTATTGTCTTATTCTCTGGACCACAGCTTGAAGAATAACGGTGAAACTGTTTGTCTCCTTCACTTCACCGGCAAGTCAAAAATATCTCCAGATTGAATCTTTCTGGCCAAACTTCGTCGTTTTGTCGTAATCTGAAGCTGTAGACCACCGTCCGTCGACAGACGCCATGGAAGAGATTCGGATAGAAATCAAACCTCCACGAGCCATTATATATTTTATATCGAAGAGTTTTGGATAGAAATCACCACTTTAAGATTGTGTTTTCCACTGAAGCTACACAAGTTTTTGTTTCCAAGATAACCGAGAGAACTCTCTTCTCTCCTTCATCCAATGGAACCAACAGAAGATTCCCAATATACGAGTGGTAATGGCGACTAGTTTGGAGAAACATCAAGACCGTCGCAATCGCGTCCGCAACTTGATTACTCAGTACCGGATTTTTCCTTGTTTACGCGAACTCCAAAGGAGTACTTTTTGGCTTGCAAAGCAACACTGCTGCTGATCAAGCAGGAAATGATCAAACTGCAAGGGTCTACGCCGAACGAGAGGGAGAGGATGATGTTGCTAATAATCGTGTTAAAATATGTCTTGAGTTTGAGCCCGAATAGAAAAGTTTCCTAATTCAAGTAGGTTTTCTATTTTGAATAGGTTTCCTAATTGAATGGTTTTCTAGTTGGAGAAGGTTTTCTAAAATGAGGTTTCTTACTTTGGATCCAATTCTTGTCTATAAATAAGAATGAGATGTTATTTGTGAAGATTAGCAAAGAGGAGCTTCTGCTAATTAATTCTTGTGTAAGATTTGTGTAATTTCTTCGTGAGAGTTGTATAGCTTAATCTATAGTGAAATTCCGTTCTGCTCTCCCCGTGGACGTAGGTCATTACGATCGAACAACGTAAATCTGGTATCTGATTTATTTTCTTATTTTGTCTATTTTATTGTTCGATCGATTGGCTTCCGCGACAGATCGGATGATGACGGCCAAAGATCAAGAATCGACAGAGGGATCGCGTCGAAGGGAAATCGAGGATGATGTTGGTGATGATCGAAGGGCGAGGGTCGACTCCGAACAAGAGAGAGAGAATGTCGTTCCTAATGGCCAAATGGCGAGGGTCGAAGATCCAAAATCGGCAAAGGGATCACAAAGAGGGGAAAGCTATGATGTTCTTGCAGGCGAAATCAGCATAACCATCCATCCGTCAAAAGCAAAAAGATTGTCAGGATTGCCTGAAGTTTCAAGCGCACCGAGTGATGGTCAAAATGTATTCCCCTCCATGCGAAACATCGATGCCGGCAATCAAGTTGGAACTGATCAAACTACGAGGAAAGAAGTGGGGCAAGAGGAAGAGAACACTCGGAGTCGTGATGCTGATCGAATGACGACGATGATTCAAGATGAAGAATTGATGGCGAGATCTCACGGACAGAGAAGGGAGGAGGACATTTTCCCAGTAGATAGCACCGACATGAGTTTAAGGGAGTGGCCATTACTTGGGTCCAATCGCGGAATGAGAGGTCGAAGGAGGAGGTCATAAAGGAAGCCATGAACTTCTTAGCAACGGTGCAGTATTTTCTTGGATTCTGTCTCAAAAAGCGCGAGGATTAGATTTTTCTTGAGCTTTTCTTGGTTTAGGGTTGTGTCAGGCACTTCATTGATTAGTTATCTCTGTGTATAAGGATTTGTCTGAAATTGGTTTTCATATAATTGTTTATGGTGGTTATAGGAAGAAATTGTCCAATCAGTTCTTTCTAGCGATCTTCGACGAAAATTTGTCGGAATGACTAATTAAAATTTCGGGCAAAGTTCAAGGATTAACTTGGGAAATTTAGGGCTGAATTGACATCCGTATAATAAATTTATGATTGA